ACGCAACATGCTTATGATTTTATTGGTTGCAATTGGCGTTAGCATGGCACCGTACCTAAAGTAAATATGGCTATTAATGTTCGATAAAGAAACCCTAAATTGGAGCCTAGTAGAGGCTGCTTGCTGTTGTCGATGGGCTGAATGCGGCTTACAAGTGTCGTGTCAGGGCCAAGCATAGATGATCCTAAAGAAGCTGTCATATTACTATAAAAATTAACCTCAGAGAAGGCGAAAGCCTTTACAAATCTTTCTCACTCATTTCTTCACCACCCTTAAGTATTAAATGTCGTCCAATGTGTTCTTAGACCATGCCTGATGCAGGTAGTTGAGATAACCTATCACGCTGTTGTCATTAAAGTATGTGCTAACATACTCTTGTAGAATATATCAACGAAAGCGTACGTGGGTAAATTATTTCGTTATATTCGTACTTAACCGTGTCTCGCGTTATACGGCTAAGTCATGATATTTTTTGCTATTCACATGCATTCATTAACACTATGTAACCAGGATACTGCTTTAGATGGTGATTTTTATCGAAGCAAGGAATTACTGGATAGGCGTGTCTGAGTGATGGATTCTTCGGTAGGCTGGGAGGAGTGGACATGGGAAGTAACTTTTTTAACATTTGGCAGGAACTCTGGAGTTGAGTAAAAAGAAAAAGCTTGGTGGTTTCCTTGAAACACCTAGATCATTGTCTATTAGCTGAACCTGCGTGCCAATGGCAGGTAATATGCTTCAGTTAGACTTATTTTTGGGCAGATACTGACTATAAAATAAAAGGGAACTTGAAATGCTGATTCGAGAAGTTGTCAGGCAAACACTTTGTTGCCGCTGAGACAATGACCGACCATCATGGTGCGGTGTGGTTGTACGTTATCAAAGATAGTATTGTACTCGCCTTTTCGTTCTCCTCGTGGTTACCTCTGGTCAGTATTGGCCATCTCAGATGTTGAGCTGCGCGTCCATGAATATGTATAGGTACATGTTTCAAACATATTCTTCCTGGGACGACTCAACAACATTTGATGCAGATGAGATCGTATTAAAGGTGGTACTGGGAGCATGATATGTGATAATCTAACCGGTCGAAGTCGAACGGTACATTGAAGTAGAGGGAGCGAAATAGAACATTGGGCTATTGGGGTTTACGTGTCCTTATTTTAATATGTTAAGATTTGACCTTGTCTTTCGCACGAACTGAAAGACATTGCTTAAGAAACTGAAAATGTGGAAGCGTACAGAATCCCAACGGCAATGAAACCTCAATTACCACCGAAGCTAATGAGACAGATGAGCAACAGGCATAAAGCCATTATTAAAAAAGCTTGGTGTTAGCAAGATCGGTCTACAGGAAGACCAGAACAACACTAAGCATGTAAATTGTGTACAACAAAATACTTGATCGTTCTGGAATCAATCAAACGTTTATGGCGAATCAAGACGCACCCATGCAGAAGCGTGTAACAGGAACTAAATTTCCTAACTTATAAAAACTGCCGAAGTAAATTATTCGTCCCATCCAAGCTACAAAGACAAGTGTGATTTAATTTATTCCAAGTTTTCGGTTTTTCAAAAGAGCGAATCGCTGGACAGGAAAGCACATCAGCCAACGTAGGCAAAATCCACAGCTTATCACATTGTCAGGATCTGAGGACACGGTGCATAGATAAGCTGCGGCTCAGGAACCTGACAGACTCTTGATGCAAGAGATTGTGGCAATTCATAGGTCACGAGCTTAGGAATATGTTTGCAGTGCTCGATAACCACATCAAATAATAAGGAACCTTTCAATCTCGATAAACACATCAAATTAAATAAAACATTCATCCAGGTGGAAAATTATGCACACGTCAACATAGAAGAAATGGGTTAAGACATGAGAACGCATTACGCTAGATGACGAACACAAACCGCGGTTACATGCTGCAAGCATTAACCGAGAGGGCCATGAAAACTAAACTGCCATGATTCTGAAGACTGTCAATCAGATATTCATATGGACACACCACGGCATCACCATCGCCTGGTATTATCGATAATATTGTGTCATTCCTATCAAAACCATCCTGTATCATTGGCTGGCTGGCTGGCAGGACATCTGGTTGTGCTTGTTATGATCATGACGGTCGCATGTTTGTGGTTTCACTCTATCAGATTGGCAGTCACAGTTACTGCTTGTGCTGTTTTCTTAGCATCGTCGTTTGTGTGGTGCTAGCTTGTGCGGGTACACCTTGCAATACGGGTAATAGTCTTTGTCTGCTGCGGTTGCTGCACTCTGGTACTTGTTAAGCCTGAATTACTGACAATGGCCTGCCGCTTTGCTTTGACATCAAAGTTGCAGCATACTGAGAAGTTTTCAGTTCCCATAACAACTTTGTTCTTATACCTTTCCATAGATGTTGTAGCGAAGGTCTATGTCGCATGGAATCTTGTAAAGCTCAGATGTAGTCAAGCTTGCTCCTGGCATAGAACACGTCGTGTTACATTTATATTAGCTTCTGGGTATCTGTGTGGGAAATAACACATTTTCCCTTGCAAAAAAACTGTTTGGGGAGTCAAAGACGGTTCCTACTCCTATTATCGATGTCAACGTTGGGCCTTGTGCATTAAATATTTCTTCCTCATGCTCGAACGTTATCATTGTGATGTTCTCCCCCGACTTCGATAAAACCTTGCCACTCATGTCGGTTTTAGTTGCATCGTTTTAAGCAATATTTTCAACGTCCAATTTATAGTTGTTCGACGATCCATTAAACTTATAATGAACTGTTAAAAGCTGCACATCTTGTATCCAATGCTGATATTTTTTTATTGTTGGCATGATAAGAAGATGGTTGCTAATATTAAACCCAGTGTTCAGCAATAATTCGCAATATGTAAGCAGTTAAGAAACTACCGATGGTATAATTTGCATTTCTGTTATAGCGGTATGGTGTGGTGTGGTGTGGTGTTTATGATTTTTAACGTTACTTTTAACAATTTTTCAGTCATATCGCTACGATGTCTGCAATGTGGCAATTTATAGTGATGTCTAGCACTGAGGCATCATGCCGTAGACATGTAGCATGATGTCCCACCCAGTCACATAATCCTGACAATAGGCCGACCAATCCTAACACTAGCCTCTTAATGCTGTGCGTCAAGTGGGGCAGCTGTTAGTACCATTTTTGTAAGTCTTTGGTATGACTCGATAGGGGATAGAACCCACGATCTTCCGCATCTTTGGCGGACGCTCTAACCACTAGGTCACCGGAATAGTTCTCTCTGTTATAACGAATCATTGTAGTAAGGTCATTGTAGTACTCTTCTTAACAATCTGTAACATTGTAAATGAGTGGTGCATTGACTAATCCTCTAGTTGGAACGGTAGCTCTGTGACAAATGATCCACTGGTCCTGCTACCGGTATGGGCTCCGAACCCAGGATGGTATGTAATTTTGTTTGCACTTGATAAGAACAAAGTTATTGCAAGACCGACCTCAACCAGCAATCCAATAGTTATTGTAGTTTCCGATGGGTAACACAATATAATCACGTTCGAAAAGGTAGTGCAGGCTGTCATTTCAGGAATTAATGCGAACTACAACACGACGACAGGGCGGGTTGGCATCACACTAAACGACCTAAAGTATCAGTTTTATCTTGAGGTGTTCTCCATCATCTTTGGATTTGAAGACTTACTATAATTTTACGGAGCTGTCACGCAAACGGTACCCAATACATCAACCTTAATCACGTCTCGTGGTTTCATGTCCAAATCGAACAAATAAACTTAACTGGAAATATTGTTGATTCGAAAAACATCACGCTGCTACAATCTATTCGTCTGAGTGGTTCATTCTTTGGGGACATATGTAATGTCTCCTATGGAATGTCACGCTAATGTAAACTAAGTGACGATGGCAGTAAGGGTCCGTTTTCCATAATACCTAAATATCGTTTCATATGTTGAAACCTCTTGGTTAAGAGCTGAGCAGTGCGGCTAACGCAAACGAAGATACTTAAACAGCATCTGGTGTAAAGGACTCAACGTCAGCGCCAAACTCCTTGAAGGTCGAATACTTAACAGCCGACACTATCACGTTGCTTAATGGAATTACCGCAATTTATATTTATGGTAACTGTCATTGGGATTCAACTCAACCTTTCAAAACGTTGGTGATTGCGTCATCAGCAACAGTAATCATACTATCATCATCCCAGATGACTGTTTGTATTTCATTAATATCATATTGTCGGTAGGTGGGGAACGCTTTAATCAACGTAAACGTAGTTGGGCGGGCACATGACGACAAAAGTAATTAGTTTTGCTATTTCTGCTGATATTCCACACGAAAAATGTACGACTAGCCTTGAGTTTATAATAGCTGCCGAAAACACCATTCGATACGATGTTTTAACGTCAACACAAGAACACCGGAATTAACATGGACTCTAAATATCCCCTGTTTCGTAATCAGAACTTGGTTATGCTAAACTTAAAGGCAGAAACAAATATAGCCTTACAGTAAGGATCATACACAATTTAGCAACAAGAAACATTGGCGCCACCTGCCAATTAATAGACCGTCGACGGAATATTGGAACAGCTTGCACAGCGAGTACAATGACATCGACAAGGAATACAACCACTGGTTCCAAGGTATGTTCGCGTCATTGGAAATGATAATAACCGGTTCAGATTGTGGTGTAATGAGGATATAAATTATATAAACTTGGAGAAATGTGTCCACCTACAGCAACATAAGCCTAACTAATAGCGGCTAGGTTTGATTGTACTAGAAAGTCGGAAGAACAATGTGTTCCCTTAATATACGACTTGGCGAGACAACTCAGATATTAACTTTCCTTTCGGGTATGTAAAACCTTTAATCAGTCTTCTCACCGGCAGAACAATTTAGTTATAATCGAATAATATTCAACCTGCGCATCCCAGTAATCTTCCAGATGTAAAAACAATTGGTCAAAATAATAAAAAGTGTGCTGGCATTTGTTGCTCTTGGTTAGTTTGTTGAAAACCGTGTTTTGTCCAGAACTTCCGCCTCGGAAGCGGAGGTTCATGGGTTCGATCCCCGTCCGAGCCATACCAAGACGACCAAAAATGGTTGTAACAACTGCTTTGCTTTTCGCTCAGGATAAGGTGACAGGGTTGGACATCATGGTACATGACTGTGGCATGATGCGCCAGTGCTAGACATCACTATAAACTGCCACACTGCAGACATCATAGCAATATGACTGAAAAATTGTTAAAAGCTACGTTAAAAGTCTAAATCACACACACACACACACACACACACACACACACACCAGATCTAGCGATATTGAAACAACTAACGCGCTCTTTTAGATCACTGCCAGTAGTATACGACTATCCGTCTTGATACAAACAGGATTATGTTACATTGGTTCGAGATTTATAGACCCAAACGGGAATTTGGCATGGGAACGGCTTTTTGTACCAAGACAGGAAATAAAAACGGGAATAAAACTTGAGACGAAAATATTATGTTAAAGTGGATCTACAGATCAGAGCATTAAATGTAAAATTAAAAATAGGCCTATCAAAAACCTTGCAGGGTTGAAGTTCTTGTGTGGGTTTTTCTTGTTGTTTCTTTTTCCATTTAGTTTATTATGAGAAAATAAATAAGTGGTCACAATTTTCGTGTGTTTATAAAACAGGAGGAATTCCTGTGCTAGACATATTAATATTGCTTTCCTTTTAAATGTATGAAGTTCAAATAAAAGGTATGTGTGCGATATCTAAATTTTACGACTCTAGCCTGTTGTGTATATTTGTATGTTATATGTTATGTAATCCTGTATTTGAACCAAACCTTGTCCACAATCAAGTTCATGGTGTACATGTGGAGTAAAAGTTTTTTTTACACAACAGAATAAATCACTAAACGATTTTCTATGATTATGGATTATATATTCAGAACATTATCAATAATGCACATGTTCTGTCGAATTGGAGCTAAAGAGACGGTCTTGCTCTGTCCTTAGAGACTTCTAGTAGAAAAATTATTGTATCACTGATTCAGAGAGAGAGAGAGAGAGAGAGAGAGAGAGAGAGAGAGAGAGAGAGAGAGAGAGAGAGAGAGAGAGAGAGAGAGGGTAAATGAAAAGAAAACAAAGAAGAGGAGAAAATACAGATGCATGGAGAAAAGACAAGGGAGAGAAGGAATTATGATGCAGAAGAATAAGAAAAGGAAGAAAGGGAATTTCAATTCAGATCAAAAGAAGTAGAACTGGCAAGTTGAAAACACTCATACCTTAGTCACAAGATTGGGTTTTCTTATTACCAGAAACCCCTTTCAAAGAAAATGAAGTATTAAATATTGTCCTCATTTTGAAAGAGTTGCTGCAAATTTGAAATGACAAATATAACAATTATCTATATCAGTACAAAGTGTACTTATTGGCAAAGTTTGTGAAATCTACACTTTACTCTCAGTACAACTTGAATCTGATTATGATTTGGAATAAAGGGTCATAAGTTGATATCTAAGGCAAATGTTTAGGAACTATAAAAAAAATAAGAAATTGGATAGACACATGTCAAATTTGCGTTAGATAAAGAACAGTTATTTTATATGTGATTCTCAGCCAAGAAGGTTGGCCCAGAATACAATAATCATAGACAACTCACATTAATTATAGCGGTCAAGAATTGAGTCCACACTGATGCCAACGACTACTTTGAGGAACAAAAGAAAATGCTGATCGTGCAGAAAACAATTATTCCTTTGCTCACAGATTCATTTGTCAGTACGTTTTCCACACAGCAGTTTCCTGGCGAAAGCAGTATCAGACTCAAGCCACCACTATTAATCAAACGATCACAACATTAAGGCATCAAGTTTCTAATAAGAATTACAAGAAATCCTCATCTGTTCCTACCTGCACCAACTGCAAGAAGAAAGGTCAAGTTATTTATGAAAGCTACAGTTTGAAAAAATACATAATATAAGCAAGACAGCTATTTAAAATATTCTTATTTTTATGAGGTCATGGTCAATTTGAAAGCAATTCATTTTATGGGTAAAATAAACTACAGTCTGATTGTGTTATGGAGAATAATATATCATGCAGTTCGAAATGTCCTATATTACTCAATAATTATTCTGCCAATCTTATCAATATTAAAATTTTATTGGAATCACTGTTAAAATTGTATTGGACACAAGAGCTTCTCTTTGTTATCACGCACTTTGCCTTTTCAAAAAAGTCTTCTAATGAATGTTCTTATTAAGCTATTGAAAAGTGCAGCTTTGTTAATATTCTTCTCTATTGTGTCAAATTTTGTTTCAGGAAACGTGACAGTCGTAATAAGGGACTTCTTTATCCATCGAGGGTATTCATTCATTATCAGGCAATGACCTAGCTGGATAAAAAGTTGTGGTTAATCTACTTGTAACTGACAAGCCTTGTTTGGATAAGAAAATCGGTCCTAATGAAAATGAAATTCCTTATTTATATCCAGATTGTGCAGTTACTAAAGCTATCGCAAAGAAAGTTTTTGAGAGTGATGATCAGGAATATATTTCTTTCTCTGACACATATATTAGTTAGGCTTTTAATGAGGTCACCTTTGTTCCGGATATGAATCAATCAATAGATATTGATCACAGTGGTCTTCTTTTACTACTTATCTTTAATCTTATCATGGTGACAAAAGACAATCAATCATTGTCGAACATGAACAAGATCTTGTTTGTTTCAGAGGTTTATTGCTTCATATATATTTCGTGTCATTTATGAGACTTCATCGTATTTAATTTTTTATCGATATGTATATTTGACGTACTCAAAACCTTTGTATTTCTTTATGAGGGAATGTGTTATCTATTTTTGTATTATTGCATGGATTTTTTTTAATGATTACATATTATGGTAATCTATATTTTGTACTTGACTTTGTCCAAAATCAAGTTTATGGTGTACGTGTCCAGTAACTTTGGGTTTGTAAACAACATAATACACAGCTAATAGTTTCTCTATTATTGTGGATTAAATATTCCGATTTTTATTAATGGCAAACAATGCTTACATAAATTTTGAGTTAAAGAAAGTCTTAATTCTGACCTTAGAAGCTTCTATGATAAAAGATTCCATTAAGATGACAGTATTTTCAGAAAATAGCAATTAGTCAAGTAGAGGGTTATATAATCTTGTTTACATTGGGATTATTCATTCTTGCCTTAACATATACAGTGAACTCAGTCTTAGTGTTGTGTTCTTTTTCTCGTTTGGCTGAATTTATTTATTCAATTATTAATATTCACTAGAACTACAAAGAGAGAAATTTGATTTGGAAGTAAAATGAATCCAGACAACGACATTTTTCGTTTATATTATTGTGATACATCAAAAGACTGTGAATAGAACATCATCAATCAAGGCCACCTGCTCATTAGCACATTCAAAACATCAGACACATCAAATATTCAATATTGGAATATATTTGGAACACCACAAAAATTCATTTCAATGTTTATGCATTTGGATTTGTGAACTTTTAGGAATTGGTATTTTTTCACAATACAGTAAAATCTTTTTCAAATTTTCATTTTGCATTCTAGGGAAATAAATTATCTGTTGAAATTTACAAAACGTTTTGTTTGTTTTGCATTTCTCTTTTACTTAGTTTAAGATCATACTATCTTACACTAAACATTGTTGCTCATGTTACTCTCATAAATCATCATGATTATTATGTCAGGCAAACAGCAGACAACAAATATTGCAATTTTTCCAGCCCTAACTGAATCCTTGGTTTACTCATTATGAGGTTTGAAAATAATGTTGCACAGACAATGTAGACATTTATCAACCTATCACAGACTGACATGTCTACAATGCATTACTATATATGATAGCATAATTGGTTCCTTGGCGAGAACAATTGTCATTTTTTTCAATTTAATGGCTGCAACTTTTGTTAAAAGAATATCAAATGTCAAGTGGCTGCCCTATTTTAACTTGATCACTATATGAGCAGAAATTATCTTACCATATATATATATATATATATATATATATATATATATATATATATATATATATATATATATATATATATATATATATATATATATATATATGAGACAGATTTGTTTCGTCAGTAGACAGGATGTTACCAAATAACTTTTTCTGTCTATCAGTAAGAATGCAGAATGACTATATTTAAATTTTTAAAAAGAAAAAAAGGTTATATCGATTTTGTGCATCGCACACATTGGATAGAATTTTATGCTAAACAATATAAGAGAGAGAGAGGCATACTTTGCTTACGGATAATACTTTAATGTGATGGGGTTCTCTGGCTTCGGCAAGAATTTAATATGTTCAGAATTTACGGCCTCAAACAAACATTTAATATGGAGACGGTACTCTGGTCTCCAAAGGGAATTAAACATAGACTTTCTGGTCTCTGACGGAAAATGTAATGTTACAACTACCACATACTAATCAATACGTCGTTTGTACTAACCAACAGTCACTCTTCTACTAAAGACACAAGTAGCATTTAAACAAATGGGTATAAGAAGAATATATGTCAAAACGCTTGTAAAGCAAATAAAGCCCCTTGTCCTTATACTTTCCATCTCCACCTCTCATAGACAAAACTAACGCAGCTATAACCCTTTGCAGAAAAAGAGATGAAATTCAGTCATTCACCAGCACACACACATACGCACGCACGCACGCACACACACATACACACACACGTCGGGAAAAAATCTCCTCTTGGGTCTCAATAGCTTTCGGGAATGTTTTTCCATTCAACACTTTGGATACATTGTCAAATGTGAATGACAAAAAGTTTTGTTTGCAGAAAACACCCCAACATGAAACCAGCCAGCTCTGCTTTAGCATTGGGTGAAATAACTTACAAATGTGTCAAACATCCCAACATCAAACCAGCCAGCTCTGCTTTTTAGCTTTGGGTGAAATAACTTACAAATGTGTCAAACATACACTTTCAGAGTTAAAGTCAGTTTCTCTACTGATTTTTGTATACTACTCCAATAGTAGAGGTTATTTATTTTTTACCCAAATTTAGAGGTTGATATGGGGTCCACAGGGTTAACATGTGTGATCCTGTACAAGGCAAAACGAGAATTAAACATCATGTCTCTAATTTACAGGTTTAACGCGCCCGGGCCTTTATGGGGTCTAACAGGGTTAACATGTGTGATCCTGTGCGACGCAAAACGAGAATTAAGCATCATGTCTCTAATTTAAAGGTTTAACGCGTCCGGGCCTTTATGGGGTCTAACGGGTATTTAACATAACATCGTCAGTCCATAGGATTATTACGTATGAGTCTGCATATGAACAAACGGGGAATCAACATTACGCCTTACGATTAACATGTATAAACCTTTCTTTGGTCAAACAGTAACTGTAAAGTTAAATTTATGTATAGGTTTAACATGTATTGGCATATGTAGGGTCAAACGAGAATATAACACAACGCTTCCATTTTAAAAAATGTAAAAGGTCAAACGGGAAATGTAATGTTAAAAAATGTCAAGCGATTTTTGTGTGTGGGTTGATATAGCCTTTAACAGACTTTAACATTACGCATTTAGCCCAAAGGTTTAACAAGCGTTGGCATGTATGTAGTATCACGAGAATTTAACACTACGACTTTAATGAAATGGTTTAACATGGGTCGGCCAATCTTGGGTCTAATGTGAATTAACATTAAGACCTTAGTCCACATGTTAACATGTATGTGACAGTATTGGGTCCAATGGGAATTTGCCTTTACACCGTTAGTCCATATAATTAACATGTGTGGGTCTGCCTGTAGACAAACGGGGTATCATCATTACACCGTTTGATTAACACGTTTAAGTCTCTGTTAGGTCTTACGTGAAATGTAATACTAAAAATACGCTTTAGATCTAACATGAGTTGGTATCTTTAGCGTAAACGGGACTATAACACTACGATTCCATTTAGAAAAAGTTATAGTGGTAAACGGAAAGAAAGTGTCGATTTTATTGCCAAGAAGTCGCGTTGGATCAAAATATATTATATTTTTAGATATGGCAATGAAGGCTAATGATGCCAAGAATACGAAAAATGTTTGTTGTCTGTATTTATCTTTTCAAACTTTATTCTTCTCTAAAAGAATTGGAATTCCTATTCCAAATGTTTGTGTGGCTTGAGAGAAGTGCATTATAAAATCTTCGTTTCATCACAGTCAAGCATAATTGTAAGAGGACGTTAAAAGATATTTCGTGGCTTTTGAACTCTTGCCGATTTTAACCGAGTGGAATTTAGACTCCATCAACGCAGCTACATGAAGGGCGTATATGCTTTATCTGAAGACTATTTCTGTGCTGGCATATGCCTTATTCATCAAGGTTAAACTCTGCACAAACTTTCAGAGGAAATCTTATAAGTAAAAAAAAATGTTATGTAACAAGTTATTTTCAAACAAAATTCAGGCGTGTATTCAACCTCAGTAGTTTGATTGCAAGCAGCATCGGACTAGTAATTCAAAGGTTTCAGACCCGCCTAGGTCAGTTAATGTCGGCTATCGTAATGTGTCCTTGGAAAAGACACTAAGCTCCTATTTGCTCCGCATGGTATAGACAAATTTTGAATTAACATTGTCATTAAAACCAACCAAATACATTGTATTCTTATCTTTTATCCATTTCTGTTCTATGTCTATAAAAAGCTACTCCTGTTAATTTTTTCCTCCCTGAGCGCTCTCTCTCTCTCTCTCTCTCTCTCTCTCTCTCTCTCTCTCTCTCTCTCTCTCTCTCTCTCTCTCTCTCTCTCTCTCTCTCTCTCTCTCTCTCTCTCTCTCTCTCTCTCTCTCTCTCTCTCTCTCTCAATTCCTCTCAATCGTTGACTGGAATGCGTATTAGATTTTTCTGTAAGAAGATGGTAGGGAACGTATAGGAGAATAGGCTCTCAAATTCATTTATAATGGATTCGTCTGTTTTTACTGTCTCTTCTTTAGTCAAGCCTGGTCTGGTCAGTAAATGAGTGGTTGCTGGTCAGTCCCAACGAAGTATTGGTTAGTATCAGTTTAACATGAAATCTCTTGTTAGAAGCCATATAACTACGAAATGTTAAATTCACACTGAGTCCAGAGAGCTTAATATGCAAAATTCGCGTCAACGACTATAGAGTCCTACCGTGTCAGATTGCCATTTTGCTAATATATGGTACAGCCATGTCCTATTTTGAAGGTGACCGTCACTATTGATGACTGACTAAGATATGTCACTGCCAGGTTTCGCTACCAGGTCATAAAATGATTTCCATAGCTCTAAAAGTTCTATGACATGTCCTAGATATATTGCATGCTTTTCTCACTAACAAAGCCAGTCATGGCAACACCAATTTTATAGTGGGTTTTTTTTTGGTTTTGTTTTGTTTTTGTTTTTATTATCTTTCAACTGCATATGTCATATACTGTAGTATTTTGCCACAAGAGATGTATGTTTATTCATAACTAATAAGTAAACACTTGCAAGTAGATTTATTGTGGACCACTCCGATGGTCTAGTGGTTAGAGCGTCCGCCTCAGATGCAAGAGGTCGTGTGTTCGATCCCCGGTCGAGTTATACAAAAGAATTACAAAAATGGTACTAACAGCTGCCTCGCTTGACGCTCAGCATTAAGAGGTTAGTGTTAGGACTGGTCGGCCTGGTGTCAGGATAATGTGACTGGGTGGGACATTATGCAATATGTCTGCGGCATGATGTACCAGTGCTAGACATCACTATAAACTGCCACACTGCAGACATCGTAGCGATATGACTGAACAAATGTTAAAGCTACGTTAAAAATCATAATCATATCACATCACATCACAAATTTATTGTGATTTTCGAGGATTTGTTTACGTTTCTTAAATAAAGTCACTCTGCTGACGATTTAACTTTGAAAGAATCATCCTGGCAAAACGTTGTAGTGTGAACGATAAAATTGTGGAAATTGCATATGTATCTGTACTAAGGTTATTTGAACAGTTCTGAATATTTCCTCATAGTATTGTTTACTTCATTGAACCTGTATATAAAATGATTTTGATGCCGTTTGATACACAAACTTGAGTTTCATGAAAAATTTATCTGCTTCAAGTGCAGCGCACCTATAGATGTATACGTGTGGGAGCAAACATAGATAAATGACGGTGGCGTAAAATTATCATAGAAAGGAAACAATTTTGCTACTGAGCAAAGGCATATACTTTGAAAACTCGACGCTTTTAGGATACGTCCGCCTCATATCAAGCCCAACTTTAATAAAATATGCGGAAATGCATACGCACAATTTTATTCACGTCAGCATTGATCTCATATAACTGTTATATCCTAGATATGCAATGTGGGTTTCATCATTTTAAAGATAGTTGCAAATCCATGGAAGGTAACTTACGTTTTGGCGGATGCCGTCTGCAATTGGTGAGCGGGAAGTGGTTGAGCTTTTGATGAAGATATTTGATACATATATACAGATATTTCTGTTATCAATGGCATTAATGTTGACAGCTGGGAAAAAATGTTTGAAATCCCAAATAAACAGTTACTTATAAAATATGTAAAAAGTAACTTTTTTGAACCCGACTGAATGTGAGATAATATAGTTGGGATTGAAGAAAATGAGCTGAGACAACAAAGAGCACCACGTATTCGGACTAAAGAGAGTTTTGTACGCGTTAATTTCCGATGTAAACGGTTGAGTCGCCCATGTACATGTGTCTGACTATGCTACTGTTGCTCAACATTCGTATGATCCCAAAGTGATGCCAAACGCTAAACTACAAAGGTACCAGCAGTATCCATTTACTCCATGGAAAGGTACTGGTCTATGAATCCACCATCGTGACATACTTTATGTGGGAACCAATACATCCCTGACTTACCTCAATCTCAACTGACCTTTGACTAAATTCCATTATCAAAGATTAGCCGATAGGCAGACGGTTTCATAAACCAACATGTTGCTGGAATACATTTTTTCAGTGTACGAACAACAAACAAAAAGTAAATACAAAATGGTATTTAATAACTGGATAATCAGACTGAGAACTTACATAGACGTGAATGAGGAGTACTTTAAGAGGATTTGTTGGTGTAATGTGTACTCAAATGGAACTTTCTTTCATAGAGCGCTAATATTCGTGTATATTTAAATACCATTCGTACTCACACAAGGGCCACACACCACTACATCGGCGATAACTGTTACTGTTTAAATTCATAGCAAATTGGTTTTATTACTTCTAATAGATTAGCTTGATAATAGCTAACTTATAACTGCTTTTCTTCCGACCTGAATGCAGAGTAATTTTTAGAAGGGTTGCTAAAACTATGCAGTACGTAGGCGTTATTCAGTTTCAGTTGTGCACAGCTTTTTTTCTGAGTGGATAACTTTGGCTCCAAGAATCTCTATTTTTTGTTGGCCATGGCAACTGATTATTTTGATTAATTGAGTTGGTGTGTCTTCTTATGTTCGTAAGAGACTTCCTTACTTATTGAACAACTCACTGAATACACCACCTAGAAACATGATTATAATAAGGGCATGATGTAGAATGGTACAATACAGTGTGTGTGTGTGTGTGTGTGTGTGTATATATATATATATATATATATATATATATATATATATATATATATATATATATATATATATATATAACCTATGGAGTGCTACATGAAGCACTATGGTCTGTCAAATATTAGACATTTATAAAACAAAGGCTAGGATGGAATTATAATACTATGACCAGAAATGTCTGTCATTAATTATGCAAGGTTTCTGACCTTACATACTACATTACGGTCAAGCCATCAACAAAATTTAACACCCTAACAAATTATCTCGAGCAGCAGAAACAACAATAGTAGAGCAATAGTAACAGCAATAGTATTAGGTCACGTGATGCAGTTATGTAATTAATATCTAAACTTGATGCTTGAGGTTGTGGGTTCGAAATCCGGCCGAGTCATACCAAAGACTTTAAAAAATTGTACTAACAGCTACCTCACTAGGCACTAGCATTAAGAGGTTAGTGTTATGACTGATCGGCCTGGTGTAGGTTAGAAATCCGGCTGAGTCATACCAAAGACTTTAAAAAATTGTACTAACAGCTACCTCACTAGGCACTAGCATTAAGAGGTTAGTGTTATGACTGATCGGCCTGGTGTAGGTTAGAAATCCGGCCGAGTCATACCAAAGACTTTAAAAAATTGTACTAACAGCTACCTCACTAGGCACTCAGCATTAAGAGGTTAGTGTTATGACTGATCGGCCTGGTGTGGGTTAGAAATCCGGCCGAGTCATACCAAAGACTTTAAAAAAATTGTACTAACAGCTACCTCACTAGGCACTAGCATTAAGAGGTTAGTGTTATGACTGATCGGCCTGGTGTAGGTTAGAAATCCGGCCGAGTCATACCAAAGACTTTAAAAAATAGTACTAACAGCTACCTCACTAGGCACTAGCATTAAGAGGTTAGTGTTATGACTGATCGGCCTGGTGTGGGTTAGAAATCCGGCCGAGTCATACCAAAGACTTTAAAAAATAGTACTAACAGCTACCTCACTAGGCACTCAGCATTAAGAGGTTGGTGTTATGACTGATCTGCCTAGTGTGGGTTCGAAATCCGGCCGAATCATACCAAAGACTTTAAAAAATAGTACTAACAGCTACCTCACTAGGCACTCAGCATTAAAAGGTTAGTGTTATGACTGATCGGCCTGGTGTGGGTTCGTGGGTTCGAAATCCGGCTGAGTCATACCAAAGACTTAAAAAAATAGTACTAACAGCTACCTCACTAGGCACTCAGCATTAAGAGGTTAGTGTTAGGACTGATCGGCCTGGTGTCAGGATAATGTGACTTAATCGGACATCATGCTACTTGTCTTCAGCATGATGTACCCAGTGCTGGACATCACTATAAACTGCCACACTAGAGAAATCGTAGCGATACGACTGAAAATGTTAAAAATCTATATCACATATACATTTATCCAATGCTTTCAAATGCTGAGTCAACGTGGCTAGAAATGTCATAGTGCGAGATATTGGGTCTGTTTGGTGGGATTGGATGACATAATACCCCCAAATAAAAACTGAATGCATTAACTTAAAACCTGTTGTGAATGTTAAAGTCAGCAATTTTACAAAAATGTCTTTCTTACTTTACTGTTTTTCAATTGAGTTTTCCAGCAAACAATAATCTAACGTTAGTTCAAATGCTTATATATAATTTTGATACACAGTTCAGCAAAATCACTGTAACATGATTAGCATGCTAACCTCGGGTAAACATTTCACTCTATTCACTTGTTATGGAGTCTGTGCACGAGGAATGATTTTTAAACGTTTTTTAGAACACAGCTGCTAACTTTAGGATTGGCAATCATGGTAAAAGTTTATTAAAACACAATGATGTTTCTTTTTAGTCGGGAAATTAGTTGTCAACTTTATAATCAGTGACAGTGGTAAGATTTATGCAAAAAGGCACTAAAATAAGAACAGCACATGATTTGTTGAATTAAAATAAAATTTTGTTCTTTCATAGCCTTTTTTCAGCAATGATGCCAATTTAAACAAAGCAGACAATGTTTAAACACGTAGTTACAGTCTGGTTGTTGCTGAACAATCACATGCCATTTAATGTCTCACATTAGGAACTTAACACAATACCCCTTGTTTTAATCTAATTTTTAGGCTGGATTAAACATTTTGGTCAATTAAATGAGACTGGCAGTAGTCTGCATAGGGTTTTGGGAGACTGTATAGTTAATACGGTAATGTAAAAGAGAATTGGCTCAGATAAAAGTTATATTTTTTACTGAATCACCAACACATCTTTAAGGAATCCAGAACGACAGTAAATTAATAAACTTGAATGTTGCCATTTCTGAAAAAGGCAAATCAAAACACTACCAGAATGGCAAAAATCTTGATTCAAACCCCCAAGCAAGCATAATATTCTTGACTTGTAGCATCAGAAGAAATGTGCCAAAATGTTGCAATTCACATGACCGATGACAGATAAACAATTAAAATGAAGCTTGAAGAACACATATCCAGATTCATGCAAAGTCACCGGAGAAGGGAAGCTTACACAGACAAAATTGAATGTGGACTATTATGTAAAACATTAAAGATATTAATTATAAGGATATGGCACTCAGTAAAAAAAATGACCTCAAAGAAACTCTAATAATCCAGAACAATGACTGCGTAACTAAGTATACAAATCAGTCAAGTTCAAAAGAGTTCACACTAAGTTTATATTTATGTGTATAACTAACAGTGTGTAACATACACGAAGCAGTCAGAGCTATACGTCATATGATTCTTTGATCAGCTCCTCGATTTTCTCTCTGATTGGGTTATACTGCTTTGCGTTTCCATCCACCAAGGCCTCAGGTCCATACTCCAGGATTAGCCATTCTTTACCATCCCTAACTACTGAGCACATGATTACAGCTGGGGAGTCCAGTGCATGGGTGATTGTTGTCTCACAAAGATCGCGTTCTATCTCACGTGCATCGAAGAATTTCAGGCTAGGATTGGAAAAAGCAGATAAATTTGGTGACTT